CGGTGATATCGTTATCGTAGCCTCCACGATTGTTACAATCTCCCGACAATGGTTGTATCATGCTTTCTCTCGTATTTCTGGTAACAATCCCGCTCGACTCCGGCCAGTCGTGAAAATTGGAAGATTCAAATGCGTAGACTCGTTCATTTATTAACGATCGATCCGTGCTTAATCTTATCGGACGCTCCTATAAATCTGACACACATTCATTTTATAATCCTCGCATGCCAATTATGAGTTCCTCAGGGTCACGATATGATAAATGATAATTCTCGCTCTCAATTTTACATGGTAATTTATTGAATAAAAATCTTTTAATCATTTTCTGGAGATTAAAGATACATATAAGTTATCAGAGCAATTTTAAGTAATTTCCTCGGAAATATTAATAAATACGAATTTCTCGGAATTTATGAATATGGAGATGTGCATATCTCTTTGAACAGGAAAATAACTCTCGGTTTCATGCGAATATCATCGTCTTGCTACGTAATACAATAACAGGCAAAGCTGTGTTCAAGGAGGAAAAGGATTGCTCGAATGGAACGAATTCGCAGCAGTTATACGTGTCTTATCGTGCCACGTGGTGGGGAATGAGTCATTTAACTTCAGGGGAACTTGCATATAAAAAGTCGCGGTTCGACTTTTTACGAATAAATTATCATTTCGCAACAAGAATGATTAAATATAATTTCTATATCTTTATACGTATATATGAAGCATTAGAAACACAATTTAATAGTTATATAATTTAATAGTTATTTATCATGCGGAAAAACACATGAAATGATATCATAAGATAAAATAAGATAATTTTAGATAAAAAATTTTTCTAATTTTGCAATTTATTATTATTATTTTTTTCTTTGTATTATCCCCAGTTTTGTACATTTACTATGATGTTCATGCATAGAATTTTCAATAAATTCGAAAGATCCTAGCGCTATTTCATAATTCTAGGGATTATAGGTGCTTAGGGAACATCTGTCTGTTTGCTTAGGCGGTTATCAGTATGAATGCACCTTGCGCCATCGTCGCAACAATACCCTGCTCTCGGATGCGAGTCATTAGAGCGTTAATCACAGGAAGTCGTTTTTTTGGAGGACATCGGCGCATTTGATGGCGTTCTTAATTAATTTTCGTGAGACACGAGAATTTTGCGCGATGGATATCAAATGAGAGATGCGCGAGCGCTTTTTCTCTTCCGACTAGAAAATTTCAACCGCTTCACTCCGACGAACTTCCATTTCCGGTAATTTTCACAAGATTATATAAGTTCCGCATCTAGCCAGTCGTGATTGCTTGTATCACGATCTCCTATTACGTTGAATTCATTTATTTCAAAGGAATATAATTCTTTTCAGTATTACTTTTAATTTAATGTATTTTGGCAATTATATTTTCGACAAATTTAATTCAATGTATACCGTTAAAAATATAGATTTATAATATAACAGAGAGAAAGAGAGAGAGAGACAGAGAGAGAGAGAGAACGAGAGAAAGAGAGAGAGAGAGAGAGAGAGAGTTGTCTAATAATTTATATCTAATAATTTATTAAAAAATATATGTGATTATTTTAATAAGAAAGATATTTGTTTTAGAAAAATATTTTTTTATAATTTTGAGAATGAAAATTTTTTACATAGCCAAACAAAAAGAAATAATAGCAAATTTTCAAGACATTATTGTGGTAAAGACTTGGTTACGAAATCTAATTATTCTCTATTTAGATAAAAAGTTATGAATATGTAGATCATAGATGCTTTCATTCTTTCATGTTAACATGTTAACATACTAATTACGATAAAGGGATGCGTGGGAAGCAGATGATCGAAAGATTCTTCTGTATTATAGACGATTTTAATAATTATGCGCATGCGATCGAAGTACTTTCAGAAATACGTTAATTCTTTTATAAATAATCTACTTAAATAATATTTTAAATTTATAAATTATATATAATTAAATATAATATAATATAAAATTACATACTTTTACGTAATTTATGAGTTAGACTATGCACAAATAATAATTTAATAATAATTTAAAATTCATTTATTTATTAAATATTTTGTAATGAATTTATCGCAACCAGCAAGAATTACATCGTTTTCTGAGGAAATCATAATCATAATGGCAATATTTTTATCTCCATAAAAAAACTTATATCAACTTCTTTTCTACATCTGTTTATTGTACATTTCGAATGCCATCTTATTACAAGGATTTTTGCAAATGGCACACAAATCGATTGTGTAATAGATTCGAGGAAGTTGATGTACAATCGCGAATTGTACTCCCGATACAATTAATAGTCCTCTTGTGCTCGTTTTCCATTTCGTACAAAATAGGATGTTTCCTGCCTTTTTTGCGTAACATGACTGATATAAATGCAAAAGAGTATGACATATTTCAATATGAATACACCTAATTTTCTTTCTTAGTATTATTTGTACAAACTCTTTTGTAGTATTTTCTAGTAACTCATATTTAATTAATAAGCATTTCAATTTATATGCAATATTTATTTCTTCATTAATTTTATTTTCTAAAAAATAAATATATTTCCTAAGAGTTAATTGATTATATAATTTAATCAGAATTTAATTAAATCTAAAATTTTATATAAGGGACACAGCGGGGAGGAGACATTTCAAATTCCGTTATTCGATCTTATTCGATTTCCGTGTCTCGTTCTAGAACGATTTTAGAGGAAAGCGTGCCAAAATCCCGCACACGTTTCGCCTGAATACATATGCAGATAACGGGGATTCCCCTCCAAGGAAGAAACGAGTCGACAAGTATTGCACCATGTTCTCTCATAGCATAGGTATAATTAAATACTTGCTTGCTTGACCCGTCGATAAGCGCATGTTTATTTCGAAGCTCGATACGCGCGTTTGCTAGTCCCGGAATGTTCCCCCCTTTAATCGACGATTTCATTCTTGCGTCAACACGCGCGTGCAACAAATTACACGTCCGTTTGGCCTAAAGAGCACAGGTGAATTTGTAGCGCACGTGAAAGTGCATAAGTTATTCCAGTTCTATAATATTTTTAGACGGGAAATTCTTTTTCCCTATTTATAGAATTGTGCATAAGCCATCGAAATACAATCATAATATATTACAAATGTTAGAAAGTATAATTATTCGCATAAAATCGATTTTATTTTTCTCTTTAAAACAAAGAAGGCATTTTTTGAACAAAATTTTTTTAGAAATTCAAGATTATATAAACAAAATTTAATAATTAAATAAATTTAACAGAATATTAGAATATTATATAATAAATATTTTAGAATAGTATGATTGATATCCCGAAATTATTCGGATAATTTAAAGGTCGCGATTTTGCGTTTTATTACACGATTAAAATTTGAATTTAAAATAAAAATGCGAATACGCTTTGACTCGAGTTTACAAAAGAGAAAAATCGAGATGATCGTGAGAAGCATTCATAATCGTTGCCGTCCCATGACACAGATTCCTGCAGTTTTTATAAGATCGTTGTATCAGAAGGAAGACGGAATAAAAACGTTATGTGCAACATGCGCGAAATTTTTATTGAGCTATCGTGATCGTACAGTCAATTTCTCTGCAATAACGCGCGTAAAATTTGGCCTTGTCATTAATCTTGTAAAATTCTGACTTCTCAGATTTTATTTTCAAATAAAATCGCATTAAGTGTTTCAATAATAGCATTTCTATGTCGGATAAAATAGGATTTTATTATTGTAATAAAATTTGTTTTAAAATTTAACTTACGTAATGTATATGCATAATATGCTCATATATACACACACGTACAGATACACATCCTGTTCTATCAAGTTATTTATTAAGACTATTAGATTTAACAAGACTGATTGATGCAGCGGAATTATTATAACACATACACAGGATTCTACTTTATTTAGCATTCCTTATATCGGAATCTCCGTGTATTATTACATACGTATGCCTTGTTTCGTATCTAATTTCTACTTTGATTACTGTAATTACATCGTTTTAGATTATCGAGACAGTCGTCAGGGAGAAAGGAAAAAGTCCCGTTTATACACAGTTTCCTTTCGCAAATAAATGACTGCATAGTAATTTGGGATACAGAAAGCCAGTCGTACGTGAAATTCAGTATGTAGGACTGTAGCGAGATAGCCGACTAACATTATTTCGAAGGGATTTAAACAGTTCGCGCGACTCGGGAACCGGTTCTTCTCCAACGTCGCGGTAATGGAATTCCTTTAAGTACCGTTCAGAATTGCATCAAGGATCCAAGGTCATTATAAATATCTCTTCGCGGACAGCGATCTTTATCCGCGCCAACTCGTGAGTAATAACGTGTCATGGCGATACCTGGCCGAGGAGTCGCGATACCATCGCGAAATACTCGAGCGGAAATTCATATTTTGGTGAAGGCGGATAGTAGCAGGCGCTTGTGAATCTTACCGTATTACACGATGTGCATTTTTGTCGGTAGTCTGTGCGCCTTGTGTAGAAGTGTTGCATGCTTACACACAAGCGAACCGTTGAGAAAAAAACCGCAATGTCATTCGACTCAGAAGAAATATCTCGTTTCGTTTTGTTTCTAATTTTTGCTTCGTAACTCGGATAGAACAAAGCTTGGATACCACTTCTCGAATCAGTGATTATGCTTACAATCGGAAGATCATTAAGGATTGCGTTAAGAGTGCACATTTATATGAAACATTCCTCTCTTTTTCTCATCAAGACTGCATTTAATTTCGCATCATTTTTATTTAATTTTAGTAATAGTAATAGTAAAAATAAGTAGTATTAAATTGAGTATCAGATACAGGGGTCCTTGAAATTATATCATCTGATAATTTCAAGAATTTTTGTACATATCATTTTTTTATGTTATTTATATGTTATTTTATTTATACGTCATTTTATGTTATTTATATATTCCATATATTTTTAAAATTTGAGATAAATGCCTTTTTCTCACAATAATATATCCTTCTGTTTCCTTGTTTCAGAGTACGCAAAAGTCGATTGACTCCAACGATACGGCGCACAGCAACAGCACTGCTGTAGCACAGATGACGACCAGCAACAGCAGCGGCAATATGCGGGAAAATGGCAACGGCGACGTGAACCACGTGCATGGCACGGGTAATGGCAGCGTGGGGGATGGTGCGAACAACAGCGAGCCCCGATCCGAAGGTCTAAACCTGAAGATGAGCGTGAAGGAGCTCAGGGAGCAGCTGGCAAAGCGCAAGAAGTACGACCCGAAGAAGGAGTCAATCGGCTTCAAGGACAAATTCGACATCGTACAGAAACTATAGATGTATCCTCTCGCTCATGTGACACATCGGTAATTCCTTTCCCTTATTCCTCTCTTTAGAGCCGCCATCGTCATTGCCGCTTGACGACGATGACGACGGTTTCTCTCCTTATGATATAACATGTCGTGTTATAACCGATCAAATTGTTATAATAAATACGCACGTTGTTTGCATAAGCGCGGACGCGTCAAGCCTCGATGTTGATATACATACTCTATTCAGTGACAAAGAACGTTGCGGAGAATACTAGGATAAAAAAAGATAATGCTGTTTGTACTAGTGTAAATATATTGTCAATTTTTCAGTTTTACACGAAGACAAACTTACGTGCAATCTCTGTTACTTCCACATCGGAAGTTACGGCAGATTTCGAATCAGTTCGACTTATTAACGTTTAAAAAGTAGAGCTATAATAAAGAGAAAGTTTTTTTGTTTGACATTTCAAATTATTATTTTTTTACAACAATTATAGTTACAGAGACCTAAATATATCTATCGTTTTCTTTTTCGAAGCAAGACACAATTTAGTTTTATTAAAAAATGTTCCTGTCGTAAATATAATTGCAACACTTCCCGATATGTGATTAGCGAATAATTAAATCTCACGCTCTCGACTTGATTACTCATGGTGTCGTCACATTCGCTTCTAAGCATCGTCTCGTCCGTTAAATTCGGGAGATCCGCTTGCCGCTTCTTCCCACGACTTTCTCTGACGAGAATTTATTTTCTGATGTAGTAATCATTTCGAATGTTACGTCGATCATGCTAATCCTTTGTCGGAATTCTCAATCGCGAATAAAGAGTAACTTTGGACAAAAACCGAAAATTTATCTCGAAATTCAAAGTTGATTCACCAGTCTTAACCAATAGCTTGGAGCGCAAATCATAGAAAATTAACTTGATGTTCGTTGTACTAAATTATTCCAATAAATATTATAATTATACTATTCCAATAAATATTGCAATAAAAGCGACTATTTAAAAAATTTTTTAAGCATTTTTAAATATTTATGTTTATTATGACATTTTTATTCCGTGGACATAACTTTTCTAACTATCGTGATTTATTAATTTAGTCGCTTTTCAATTAAGGCTGAAGATTGACATGATCACGTCAGGACAATAAGTTGATGTCGACGGAGAGTTGGACACGCGCGGAATTCCTCGATAATCTTGCGCGAAGCGTAGAAAATTCGCATGAGTCGGCCGCGAAAATGTCAATTTCAACTGCATCCGTCTGAGAGTCTCAGTCGTGATGAGGCTTTAAGGATTCACAAGGACGGACGTTCTTCGCGTGCAACGGGCGTATGAAGTCAGTCAGTCGCCCGTTGCTCATCCAAGGACGAGTGCGCTGACATGGGGAGAAAGTACTCGGATGAGTCCTCTCAATTTAATTTCCGTTATCGAATTCAAAACGCGAATCGTTTTTACGCGCGTTGCAACATCGAGCAAGAATTGAACATCCGCGAATCTTGTAATCTACAATAAACTGTTTTGATATTTGCTCAAATTCAACTCGGTACTTAACGTGATTAATTTGAAGTACTAAAGATTACATAGACAACGTAGACAATGTCACAAGAATAAACTCTTAATTAAATTGCTCATTAATGATTGATATGATAGTCATTGATTAAATGATATCATATTAATACGACACACACATTGCATCGCGCAAGCTTTCGTACAAATAATTTGCAAAATTTAAAACATTTTTTCTTTTGATTCTCTAAAATATGTTTTTCGAATTTAATCGTAAAAATACTTTAATAACATCAATGATTTTTTATTCGAGATATGATTTGTTTTCAGAAAAGATATCCAGTTCGATGATAATTGTTTAATTCTCAGTCGTGTATATTTTCCGATAAGAGAAAGTAAATATTTTCAATAAATGTTAGCGATAAATACAGTGTAATGTTAGTGATTAATCGGACAAATTAAACTCGTGGGTTATCGCGTAATTAATCCAACTTAAAGAGATTCAATTATCTCAGATGACAAAATGGGAATTCTAATATTTCTCATGATAAGTGCCACAAAACGTTATTTAAAGATCGATTTATTTAATAGTTTCATAATTACTGAGAGAAAAACATTTAATATTCTTAATATTGATAAAAAATTTTATTTTATTCTAGAAATTAAAATGTCTCCCAAAATATACAATTTTACAATTTGGAAAAAGGAACTAAAGATAGATTTTCAAAAGAGTTATGCACTTTATTTACAACCGCATGATTTCTCGTTTCCCTTGTTGTATGCACTCTCTTCGTTTCTTTATTCCCTTTTATTGTAACTTCCGGTTAACGACGGCCACGGTTACTGATTGCGGTACATCCCATATATATATATATATATATATATATATATATATATATATATGTGTGTGTGTGTGTGTGTGTGTGTGTGTGTGTGTGTGTGTGTGTGTATGCTAATGTTCTTCGAGTAATTTTCATATCATTAGATTTATGTACATGCATATGCATAATACAATAGATAGGAGAGAAACGTGAAATCTATTGAAAATTCATAGACAATTAGTATTGATATGTGTGTCGAAAGGAAAAAAGATTCAATTGCAATATCGATTTCTTAACATATAATTTCTTAACCTATCACACGATATATATTATAGAGCGTTCGCGAAGCTACTCGTCGCATTCACTTATTTTTTTACTATTACACGAATATTATGAGCGATTCGTCGTCCTTAAAAACGTCGTCATTAAAAACATATTTACAAATGAGAAATTAAGGAGCGGATTTTTTCAATGTATACGTGTCCATTTCCAGCGTAAATTTCCACGAAATTAATTAAGCGCAAGCGGCGAACGAGCGAATATTATCAGAGTGCGACGATAACAGAGGCTCGACAAACAAGTACTCGCGATTGAAATTTATAACTTGCGTTCGTCGCGCGCGCTTCGATAAACCGGCGTACGTTGAATGCGAAGGCGTTGCATAATCGAGCGAACGAGGAATGTCGCGTTACAATGGCAACTCGGGAGAGAAGCCGTCGCCTCTCCAGGGCAATTCCACTCTTCCTCTGACGCGTCTCGTCGAGAGTCGCGGAAAAGTTAGGTATTACTGTACCACGAGACTCTTGTTGCTTAAATATTACAACGATTTGTTGCGTAACATTTGTCGTCGTCGTCGTCGTCGTCGTCGTCGTCGTCGTCATGCATGCATTTATATTGAGAACGTGCAGACACCGCAAGATATCGTGCCTTTTTTAGAAATGTATAAAGGCAAGGACGAAGCTTCGTTGTCTATCAAATATCTTAGTAATATCGAAGTTTTTATATAATTCGCGCTTATCAAGAAGAGAAAGGAAAAAGTTCATCGACTATTTAAATTCAATATTCCTTGGTCCTTAAATTGCCATATAATTAACACAATTAATATGAATTATTATACTATTTTCTATATTTCCATCTCGTAATTTTTATATTTCATAATTATATTTTCACAATTAGTGCATTCCCTTCCTCTTCTTTGATGATTGTCAAAAAAATGTTAACAGCATCGTATGGAATATAAATTAACTTTAAGTTTTTGAAGAAAATTAAAATTCTATTCTAAACGATTGATATTTATTGTTGTAATTCATAAAAAATTAAATTTTTATATTAGAGTAATAAGATTTATAGTCTGTTTTCCAGACTATGAGACTCTATGCAAAATATTATAAAAGGTTTATAATATATCAAAGTATTATATATTATATATATATATATATATATATATATATATATATATATATATATATATATATATATATATATTGTCTTAAATTCGTTGGCGTTCGTTTCACAGGCGTTAATAAACACTTAAAATTTAACCAGTGTTAGTACTAAGTTTACGACGCGTCGTTAATGCCATGCATTATTTACCAAGGACAATACGCTTCCTACTGAAATGGCAATTTATTGTGTTACTTAAAGCTACCGTTAAGCTTGTTATGAATCTTTGGATAGAAACGAGTTCGATTCGAAAACATGAATTCTGTGTGAAATTATTATCGCTATAATTTATCAAATAGCAAGCACGAATATAAGCGGCTATTAACGTTGTAAGCGCGTATCTGTTATTGTGTGCTAATTACATTTCGTACGCATAAACCGTTATGTCATTCAGCAACTTGCCCGAGTGAAAGTTTATTAACGAGATACAATAGACACGCGCAAAGCAGAGAATTGGCGAAGCAAAATATCATGTTTATCTCGCGACAAACACATTTTTGTGTTAAAAAATTTCGCAAAAAAACGAGTGCGAGGTGAAAAATGACAAATGAGTTGAAAAAAATTCGCTTCGCGAGACTTCGCCAAATGATCGTAATTAGAAATAGATTAGTGCACTTCTCCAGTGAACGCTAAAGGGAGAGCGATTATAACCGGATCGAATTTTACGCCAACATGTCAGTTTCTAGCGATGCGCGATCACGTTTTCAAAGCGAGAACAACATAGGAATTTATAGCGAGATTAATTGAAAGGGAAACTACTTGTTAGAGAAACTACGCGATGATCTATCTAATTTTATTGTCTGCGAAAACAGGATATAGAATCTGTAAACAAAATTATTCTATATTGGTAGTAGAATTTTCTCTAAAAAGAAACTACATTCTCTTATATCAAAGTCCTACAGATTTCTTCGACACATTACGTATATATATCCGATTAAAATTAAGAGCAGTATATCGAACAAGTACATGATTATATGCGGCAACGTGTACAATTAGAACCATTATTCTCTAACAAAATTAATCTCCGCTTAGTAAATGTGCGATATGTCAAAATCTCGCGGCGCATTGCTCTTATTTTAGACAGGCAGGTAGAGGAAAGCAATTTAATGTCTTAACAACGTCGCGATATAAATGCGCTTCGGATGAAAAAAGGCAACAGTGAAAGGATTTGTATCCTAAACGAAATCGCCGTTTTATCCTAACGATGTCTCGCAATACTTCCATATATATTTAAAAGTTTTAGGCATCGTATAGTAATCAATTTGATAATATAGACATCGATGGGCTTATTTTACGAGCGGTATTTAACTTTGAAGGAAATTAAAAATCTAAAAAAAAATGTTAAAATTATTTAGAAAATTGTTTAAGAAGAATTAATTATGTGTATTAATGAGAGGTATATCATTCTTGCGGTAGAATTTTTGAACTATATCACCCGCAAAAATGGCATTTCGTGTGATTAAGATCGGCGAAAAAGCAAGCAATTCACTAGCGCAGTATTTAGAAGCCAGGTTTTTCAATATTGCGATGCTCTCGTACTCGTTCTTTCCTTGAGCGCAGACATGTTAGTCCTCGTTTTTTTCTTTTTTTTTCCTCAATATTCTTGTTTTATCATGAGACCGTGGAGAGCTCTAATAGTTATACCGGCTTCTGTAAATATTAATCTATCAGGATAGATGCAACGATCAAATGGCTAATAATAATTACTTGTGCAAAGAAGCTTTTTATATACAATAAGATCGAAATAACTATAATTAATAACGGAATAACTGTA